ATCAAAATGGCCATTGTCATCGTGTTGTAATGGGCATACATAAAATTTCAAAAGTGCCAAAAGATGTTGCATCATTTTTAAGGTTGCCAAATCCACATGAATATACGGGGCATTGCCTTAGAAGAACCTCGGCAACTATCTTAGTTGATAATGGTGGAGACATTACAACCCTAAAGCGACATGGTGGATGGAAATCTACCAGCGTCGCTGAAGGATACATTGAAGATTCTGTAAACAATAAGAAACAGATAGCGATGAAAATATTAAACCCATTAGAGTATAATGAACCAAGTACATCAAGCGAAACTGTAAATATTGATCCTGAAAATAATTTAATCGAAGACTTTTCTGTTAATAATGGTACAATTGTTAACACTGAAACTGAGAACCTTATTACAAGTAACGTATTCAACGACAGAACTGTAAACTTTGAAAAAAAGACAGCCAGCAGCGCTTTAAATATCAACAACTGTACCATACAAAATTGCACATTTAATATTCATGTTAATAAATAAAGTTTGATGATAGACATGTAGGTAATTTAGATGTTTATTCGTTTAATTCAAATTAAAGAAAAATAATTGTTACATTTGTTTTTTTATTCATGAATAAAGTGGTTAAAACTGTCATGTTTAATTAATCAATAAAATGTATAAAATGTATAAAATAAATAGTATTACCTACCTACTGATTTTATTTTGTGCTGAGATTGAACATCGCGTTATCCGCTATAAATTTTCAAAATTAGTAATTTTTTATATTCACGCTTGAAGAAAAAATAGTATATGTCACTCGGAGTGGAAGGCTCATTATGTGTTTTGCCCAATTTGCTCAGCCTCGGCTAACGCCTCGGCGAGCAAACTTTTGGGCTCAACACATAATGATCGCCTTCTACTCCTAGTAACATAATATACTATTGTGCCACTAGGTATCAAGTAGCGACAGCACTTAAAATATACCTACTTTGTAGAATTTCAAATGCGTTTTTGACAGCTAACACAATGCTACTTACTTTGATAGGTATAATTGACGAATTAAACAAGTCCGTACAAGTACAATTGGTACAAGTCTGCGCGTCCTTGCAGTGCTCTGGTACAAGTCTGGACAAGCGTTACTACTTCAGTATGTACGCAGCATATTGATGCTAGTATAAAATGTGTAAATTTTTACAAGTTACAAGTGTTGTGATCACAAAGCTAATATCCTATTTGCATAATTTTATGAAATATACTTGATTAATATGTAATTGTGTGTAGTAAATAAAATAATTCTTGAACAGTTCTATATCTATTTTTCCATGATTAAAGAATGGAGTCATAAAATTCCCCAAATCTAGTTCCAAATTTTCATCATATTTCATAAATACTTATATTTTAAAAAATTTTACTTCATATGTAATTTATAATTATGTCTATTACAAGAAAGTACATAGGTACTATCTATGTTATGTGAATTATGGAAAGCCAAACTTTCGGTCACGACCTGCTTAAACCTGCCATTTATAACTCGTATATCCCCAATTTTTGTTTTCGCTGACATGGACCTCTTGCAATTCGGAGTCGACTCCTGAAGGTCGATATAGACTACTTTGGGAATCATTGTTGTTGGGTATATCTCACCCACACTCAAGGAATGTAAGAGGACGGACATCCAAATACCTAGATCATTCGTCAGTCCTCTGACTTATGGCGTACTGATGGGAAATAATAGTTGTTTTCCACCATTGTTTAAAAGAATGTACGAGAAAATTGGGCGATAAAAGACCATTGTATGAAAATTTCGAAGTCTGTAGGGGGAAGCATGTCTTCAATGTAGTCTCTTTACATGTCTTGAAAACGAACAGTTTTTTGTATTTGTATTAAACATATCTGGTCGGAACTGAAAAACCAATTTGGGGGTTTCTTTCATTGCATATACATTATACGATGGCTCTTAAGGACTAATCCTAATATCTAGAAAATAGTAATCTCTTCAGTCCCAATCAGTTCGGTTTCAGAAGTAATATGTCAACTACACTTGCAATAGGTAAGTTGACTTCATTTATAAACAGTGGGTTTGATGAGGGTAAGTATGTGTGTTCGATGTTTGTTGACTTCACCAAGGCCTTCGATTGAATCTGTCACAATATACTTATTGACAAATTGCAATTTTATGGCTGTACTCGCGAAAGCACTTATTCAGTCGTATTTCTGTCATAGACAACAATACTTGGTTCATAACAACTACAAATCAAAAACATTCAATTTGAATTACGGGGTACCTCAAAGTTCTGTTCTGGGGCCACTACTATTCCTACTGTATATAAATGATTTCCCAACTTCTGTGAGAAACGACGTGTTCGCGATTCTTTTCATTGATGACACTAACTTATCCATAGCCAATAATGTTTTGGATGATCTGACGGTGGACATTCCAATAATCGAGAATGACGCATTACATTGGTTCACTTCAAATAACTTATGCCTAAACGCATCTAAAACCGAAAAATTGATGTGCAGCTTGCGTGAAATAGACGATGTAAACAATCCTGATGCAGTAACATTTCTGGGAATATATTTGGATCCGAAATTGCAAGGGGACAAGCACGCCCACTACCTCTGCAATAAGATCTCCAAGGGTATCTATTTAACCCGCAACTTAAAAAACGTTAATTACTGCTTATCATAGCCTTATTCACTCCCAAATATCCTATGCAATCCTGATTTGGGGTTATTCACCTTCAGCTGATACCGTTTTTGCTACTCAAAGAAAAGCCATTCGCATAATCTCGGGTTTAAAATTCAGAGATGACTGCAGAGCACAGTTGAAGAAGAAACTTGGTATTTTAACATTACCATGTACTTGCATACTCCAGTGGCTTTTGTACGTAAAAGAAAATGAAGAGTCGTTTACTGTCCGTAGCCAAATCCATTCTCATAATACTAGAAACAAAAATGACATAAACTTAAACTTTCATCGCTTAAGTAAAACACGTAATGGCACATCATATCTGGGCATCCAGTTTTTTAATGCATTACCAGCTCCAGTACGTCATCTCAACCCTACTTTATTTAAAAGAAAAATAAAACACTTTCTATTAACCAACGCATTTTATACTACGCGAGAATTTTTAAAAAGTGATCTCACCCTAATATGACTAACTTAGACGTAGGTTTCGCACACTTCAGTTGCATTGTTTCAGTTTTTTTCTTATTACATTACTCATAATCTTATTTTAACATGTATCATTTACTGTTTGCTAGTTTTGTTGTCCTCTTACAAACATTTTATTTTTAATTAATTTATTTTTTTTAACATTTGACAACAACAAATTGATTGTACTTGTATTGTTTTATTACAATTTTCTTTGTTCTTTNTTAACCAACGCATTTTATACTACGCAAGAATTTTTAAAAAGTGATCTCACCCTAATATGACTAACTTAGACGTAGGCTTCGCACACTTCAGTTGCATTGTTTCAGTTTTTTTCTTATTACATTACTCATAATCTTATTTTAACATGTATCATTTACTGTTTGTTAGTTTTGTTGTCCTCTTACAAACATTTTATTTTTAATTAATTTATTTTTTTTAACATTTGACAACAACAAATTGATTGTACTTGTATTGTTTTATTACAATTTTCTTTGTTCTTTAAATTATGAACTAGTTACGTCTCAACACTGTTATACGCGTGTATGTACTGTGTATATTTTATTATTATTTTTTTATAATGATTTTATATAACTACTATAATTATTTTTTTTTGACGTGTGTAAACACTTTTTGTGTACTAACACTAATAAATATCTATCTATCTATCTAAGTATCTAACATGTAGAAATTTCTACTTAGTTTTGTGAAAATTCCGTTTCCAACGCCTCCCGGATTCATTACTTAATTTTAATGATAAATTATATCAAATTATATAAAAAAATATTTTTTGTAGTGGTTCAAAGTTTCAAGTTTAGTTTCTTTTTCAGTTTTAAAATAACCAGTTACTGACACCGCTGATTAGAAATGGTCAATAAGAGAGTCTGTTTATAAGCTTGAAACTAATTCTAGATCTTAAATAAAACTGTGAAATTTACCGATTACAATCAGCAGGTCAATAATTGGCTGATTTTTCAACTCTCGGAATTTACAGTTTTCCTAGATTTTCAAAATGAAACAGTAACTTAAAACTTTATACCTATGCAAACAAATATTTTGCTTTACAAATTGATCACATTTGAGAGGCAGAGATTAAAAGTGACGGTAGATAAAGCTACATAGTCAGATTTTTAAATATAAAATCCTTAAAGCAATTTTCTCAAAAATCGCGTCTAAAAAGACACACCCATGGATTACCGACTGGATCATCGTAATTGATTTAGTAAGTTCATCTAGAAGGCCGTTTTGTATAAAGAATATTCTAACTGTAAATAATGTAAGTCCTAAAAAAAATATTAGAGGGGTCTTATTGTAGTGAACCGCATTGATAGAAACTTTTTATGTACAAAATAACAAAATAAAGATAACCTGCCACCTAATTTGTATATAATAGTTATATTGGAACAAAATTTAGTAAACGATCTTTTTCGTTAAAATAAACAAATCAGCCAAAGTTATATATTTTTTTTTCTAAAACTATTCCTAGAGCCACCTCGATACTTTGGCAATGGAATGTTGAAGTTTCGAATATTGTGGTTCTTTTTTCTAATTCCTAGATCTCTGATTAGATGTTCAAACTTTGCTTCTAGGTAACTAAGTCTGTACTTCAACTGCTCTTGTGTACATAACTGGTTAAAAACTGAATTATATTTAACTTTTACGGAAAAAATTTAAAAAATGTTTTTTTGTTTATCACTCCTTATAGTTTGTCGCAAAATTGCTGTTACAATAATTACAGCATCATAGAAGCTGCAGAAGTAAAAAATGAGAACATATATTTAACGTCAAGCATACACTAGATCTAAGTAGTTCATACTTCATCACGTCTCCTAGAGTTAATTCAATAAAACGAATTTAATTTCAGGGCCTCCAGGACCACCAGGACCAGCTGGCCCGCCAGGAAAGCGCGGACGGAAAGGAAAAAAAGGAGAAGTAGGAGAACCAGGCCCCGCGGTAAGTGCGTCGTAAAGTAATTGAAGGGAACGATTTTTTAAAAGGGCTTATTTTGTTTGACTTATGAAATAAGTGAAGGAACTGTCGAGAACTGGCTGAAAATCCTTTTAGAAATTTCTCTTTATTAAACTTACAGTTATATACCTAATATTTAGTACTGTAATTAAATGAGAAGTACAATTTATTCTTTTTAATTTTCTGCCTGAAATGAGAAATTAAACATAAAATATTTATATACAACTTAGATAATTATTTTTATTTACTTTATTTTGTAAGGGAATAATGAAATTTGTGCTCATTTAAGTAAGCTCTATATTTCTCAGAAGTTTTATTTAGTTTTTATTTAACAGAAAGTTATTCTATGAAACATTAATTTAATTTATTATGTTCATAGAATTACATTGCATACAGAAGAAAAAATGGTTGTAAAAGTTTTACGAAATATTTCATATATCATTGGATAAAGCATACATCCTAAATATCTGTTTTTCAATTTATTGTAGATGTAAGTTAATAGGAATATGATATAACACGACAAAACAAAGTTAGTGTAACATTGTTTCCTTAAACAGTTCCTAAGGTCTGTTTGATTCCTCAAACGTGAGAAAGATTTTTTTAACCTTATGAATTGGGCATAGGATAAAATAAGAATTGTTTTTGAAAGAAAATAGAGAAGTAGATAAAAGGTCAAATGTACTACCGGAGTTTGAGGACAATATTGACGCTGACATAAGAAGCTTAGGGGTAAAAAGATGGAGAGTTGTCGTTAGACAAAAGAAAGGATAGAGGAGAGCCCGTACTTTATTTCATGGAGATCTGTAACGCCAATTATGCTAAAAAGGAGTTTCACCAGTTTAGAGAGTAAGTAACATCGTCGTTGAATCTTATTATTAGAATAGAACAATTTTTGTCCTCGGGAGTATTCAATTGCAAAATTAAAAGTAAATTTGCTTCTTTTCCTCATTTCCAACCAAATAATTCTATAGATATTTAATCTCTTATATAAAACTTTAAACGGACGGCTGTTGGTGGTACTCCTAACACTGATACGGCATTTGAACAGAACTCGAACAGATACTAAACAGAACTCGAGAAACACTAGAACTTTGTTAGCAATGATCTACCTTAAATTCGTTAAGGAAACCTCTTCGAAATTAAACAACTATTAAAAGCGGTGCAACAATTTCGAATTTTAATGTCAATTTATCGATTTTGGTGCATTTGCACGCGTACTCAACCACTGTGTTCTCATAAAATCACCTCAATCGTTTCTACTGAATACTAAAGAAGCAGAATAACTAGGAGTGATTTCCTACCAAAACCTCAAATGAAACTCTTTCACTGGCAAAATTTGCGACGAGAGAATATCCCTTGGAGGGTGCAAGGAACTATGTAAAATAATAGTAGACTCTGATTTAAAGTGACCTACAAGTAGAGCTAGAAAGTCTCTTTAATTTGTATTCAAAGGCTAACTTGTCACAACGTCTACAAGAACTACATCTACCACAGCTTTTGCTGAATCTACCACCATTTTTAATTAAGAAGAAGATAGGTCAATATGTTATTGGCAACAAGAACACCCTCAATAATTGCAGAAGCAGAGTGGGGTACAACAAAAGCTGTCATAGTCCTTAATGAGCATTTAGCTCCGAAGTACAATTTTTAAAAGAACCTTAAGATTGTAATACTGAAAAAGTAGGACTCGGAGGAAGAACCATTGATAAATCCAATCTAATCTGACGGCTTAGAAATACAAAAGTAGGAGATTGAATATGTGGGTATAAAGAATTCAATATAGTTAGCAGAGAGAACCTTTTACCAGATTCAAGCTGCTATTGAACTAATCTATAAAGGCTGGAAATCAGAACGATGTAACCCTAACCTGAGTTCCGGAGCATGAAAGAAATCGTAATAAAAAGAAGACTGATAAGTTAGCTAGAGCAGGCACATCTATAGTCGTGCACGGGTCTGAATGCTCTCGTGGTATCGCTGCCTGTGTTATTAAGTTAATCATCAAGAAATGGAATGGAAGATAATACCCAAAAAAATAGTACATGAAGCCCTTGACATAAGTAAGTTATAAAGTTTCTGAAACAACCGTCGAAAGAGATGCCGGCAAACTTACTGAACCAAAGTCATAAATCAATAAGGATAACAGTAAGACTGCTAACAGGGCATTGCAGACTCAGAAGATTTTTTTGATGACATCATAGAAGAAAGCCTACTTAAGTTTTACCAGGAGGCAGTAACTCATACAAAGGGTTAGCTGGTACCTATGTGAATAAGCCGCTGTCAAAGCAGTGAAGCCGAATTGGTAGATTTAAAGAAGTTGAAGAATCCTCAGGCAGTTCACAATAGACCTATGGTGGGTCGCAGTGGAGAAGAATTTTGTATCTGCTTCATGCACACAATCTACAAATCTGCATTGAAGACACTGCACTTTGCCACGTTTGCATCTCTTTGAGCGACAGATTCATTATGAATTGCTTTAGGGAAAAATGTTACTGTTGTTTTTTTGTTGTCACAATATCGGTGTGGCACTTTAAATATATTTCGTGGTGAAGAACAATTTTTTATTTGTTTATAGAAAAATGTGTATATCTACATTTGACACAAATTTCAAGATTCCCGCAATCATCATGACTACATTTCACTTACCACACTGATTTTTTTCTTTTTTATTTTTCCTTTAGGGGTCCCCAGGCACACCTGGCAAGAACGGCTTTCCGGTATTATTATTTTTATTATTATTATTATTATTATTTTAAAATTTTCATTCTTAATCCCATTTACTCGCTTACTCTTATATCTAATATTAATTGGTATTACATCGATCAATACAAATTATACAGATCTATATCTGAGATTAATTATGAGGATTTAATTAATCTGTTCCAAATCAAATACTAACAACAAAACTTATGATAAAATATGCAATTAAAACTAAAGTTTTGTTGGACTACGTTATATAGTGAACGTGTGGGGTGCTGGACATGGAATCAAGTAATGTTTTAGCATAATCCCAAGTATCTGGCAATAACATATACCTTCAGATAACACTGGAAAGGTTCGATTACATGAGCTATCTGGACAAATGTAATTGAGACCAACTTTTCAGAAAGCAAAACCCAACGTTGTATCTGAAAATATTAAAAAGAGAAATATAGCTATATTTTTTAATAGTTGTCTAACTTGTAATGTAACGTGAAAAATAGTATGAGACGACAACTTTAGATAAAATAATATGTTATTCAGTATATAAAAGAGTTTTATGTCCGTGTATTTATATTTCACGTTTAATTTAACATTATGACATATAGTACATTGAAAGCTTAAAAGCGTCTTTGAAAATGATTTATAGAATGTGTCACATACATCTCTTTTTATTAACTGACTCTACATCAGATAGAGTAATTTTTATTTGTACGGTAAATTAAGCTTACATATTTATAAATTTTAAAGCTACATGTTAAACGGGATGAAAAATGTCCTTTATGTTTATAGATTTGTAGTCAGTTCCAGAGAAAACAGTATAAGCAATGAAGGAATGTATAGTATGTATTTTAAAGAATCAAAATAAATCTAAAATGTTAATATGGTACGATCTAGATACAGAACAAATCTTACGTAAAGGTACTCCTGATACTCTTTCAAAGTGAGGTCGGAATTAAGTAATTAATAATGAATAATTTTGAAGGATGCTTTGTGTAACTTTTTGTTTTCAGTTTTCTTAAACTCAACTACACTGGACAAAAGTTTGAACAAGTTTTAAATAAAAAAGTCATTTCAAGTTAATAGATTCAATCGTATCAAATATATCTGACTGTAAATTTAATTAACTATTACATTAAATTAGAAAGAAGAAAATTCAACACATAATGTGAAATTTTAAACACATTTTAAGTCAAATGAAATTTATACACATTAATAGTAATTATTACGAACAGTCACACGTTGCTTCAGAATTAAATTTTCCTGTATCTATACCTACGTTGACTGCGCATGTTAGAGAACTCTGGTTTTCCATTAGTTCTACATACCTTTGCCACGAGGTGCTGGGGACCCTTCGAAATACAAACCTCTATGAAAATCATGCAGTCAATGTTTCCCACATGTCTCACATTCGAAGCATTCCTTTTACGTGTAAGTCAGTTGTTAGTATTTGATTCGTCTTAGCACTATGGGTGGTCGGATACAGTTTTAGAACTATTCTATTAGCAGTAGGTATTAACTTCTAATTGATTTCTCCAATAAGAAGTACTTTTAGTAAATTATTTAAAGTATTGATAAAATAGAGATTACTAACTCTATCTAAAAGAAATGAAATTATATATCCTCACAGATACCTATTCTAAAAAAATATATTGAAGTTTTATATATTTTTCAGTTGACTTCCTTTAAAATGAAAATTCGTAAAATGTATAGTAGAAATATGTTATACAATCTACCTAAGCTGAATTTAATATTCGTAAGACAGTGGAGTTGCCGAATTTCTACTGGTAACATTTCACTTATTATCATATTTTATTACTTACATAATTTTTCAAATACGTAAATAAAAAAAATGTTTGTTTCGATTTTTTTTTCATATTTGAAAAAATTATTTCTGTTAGTTACCACGATGTCAAATCATCGTAGTGGCAACCAGTTCGGTGATTAATAACTGTTAAGGAAGCATGTAGGCTTTGTAAACCAAGCAGGAAAAAATTGGTACAGTTAAAATTCTGCTAATAACTTTGAATCTTATGACCTCATAATTTACGTAGTTTTGCAAATTGAATAGGGAGAATGTTTCAAACTATCTAAGTACTTAAAATTTAAATTATTAATTTGAGTTTAGCATTGAAATAATTTAGAAGTTAATTCAAACTGAAAACTCACAAACCGAACCACCCTCTCTGCATTGATCGTCAGAGTAATTGTAAATCCATGCCTTAATATGTCGTTATCAGAATTAATTAATCATTACAGGGTGACAAGGGTCAAAAAGGAGAAATGGGCTACCGGGTAAGAGAAAAGTGGTGGTTTGAATGTAGCTTCATAGTAAATTTGAACATACATGGGTACATTAGTACTAGATGCTAGAAATTGTTTTAACTCATTTGCGGATTTCCAGATCATAAACAGGCCATAGCGCTTTGGTGAGAAATTTCCAATTAATTAAGCTTTTAATAATGAATTTCTTCGACTATGTTTTGTCTCTGCGATTGGTAGGTTTATCATCTCCGCTGCTGTGTTGTAATTTCTAATTGCCCCACTCGATGCAAATTTTTAATTTATGTAACACCTGGAAATTTATAGTTTTTAATGTTTATAGTTACAAATTATTCAAAAAAGAAAAAATTTAAATGATCTGTCAAAGTTAGTTTTTTAATTTAATCAGAATTATTGTAGCTCGTATGGTTACCAAGGTTTTCATGGTGAGCATTCTTAAGTGAATGTTAAAATATTAGATAGAACCTTTCTTATAATAACTGAAAACCTTTTATACTCATTCATACCGTGACACACTGCACAGCAGAGGAGATTGTGACAAACAAAATGTCGAAACGATGTGGCCTGTTTACTAATTTTTTGCTCTGGTATTTTTGAGGTACCCAAGGCAGCAATACTACTGGCCTGACACCGTAACAGATCCTGTAATACAGTAACAGTCAGCATACAGCATCATTTGCATGTTCCGCCCTATGTCTACCCTGTCCAGACTAAAACCATATTGATAATACCTGGGATAATGGATCACTCATCCACAGAAAAAACGGAATTTTTGCTTACTGTACAATCAAATATCATAAAGCCATTTGTGAACGAAGAGAATGAAAATAATCCACGAAGTTCGTTGTTATCGAAAAGAACATTGTTATTTAATGAGCTATCCACTACTGTCAGGATATAATAGTTTTTAACTTAACTACTTCGAAAGCAGGTAGAACAGAATTTAATTAACAAACGTATTTTTTATGGTACAAATTGAAGTTTCGACATACGTTTATATAAAAAATTCAGTTTATTTTAATTTACTTTACTTGCTTTCGAAATTATCAAGATAAAAACTATTATACCTTGTTATACAGAGTGTATTTAAAAGAAGGAGCAGGGACACTACCAGATAATATTGAGGTTTAAATATTACAATTGAGACAAACATGTATGAGACTAAATTTGCTTCATTTGCAAGTTACATGGTTCACTTCATTTATGTACAGTCGCATCAATCAGTACAAAGATACTGACAGATTCCGTCATTAAGAACTCCAGAACGTACTAGTATTTTGAATACTCGATAAATTTATTTGTTTCACAATTGTATTTCAAAGAAAAAAACATATGTTCAATCTTTTTCAAGTATTATTTGTTTTTTGTTTAAAAATCACGTAGCTGAATCTGTCGAAAATAATTCAGAAACAGAAGAAAAAATTTATAAGAATTTTCTGTTACAAATACAGTTTTTAAATAGTGATCATTAAAAGTCCGGAAAATTCGGTGGTGGTCCCTTGCCATTACCACAGTAAATTCAAAATTTCTACGTCAATTAGAACTTATTACAAAATTCGGGAAGAGAATGTCCGGATTTCCGTCACTAGTAGGTTTAATTCAGTGAATTTTTATTTTTATTTAGTTAATTTACCAACCCAAATTTCACTGATCTACGTCAAAAACCTTTTAATGTATTTGAGTATTTGCGATGTGTTTCAAAAACAGACACCATTGCAAGTGAAGTAGCTTTAGATAGACCAACTCACCAATTATCATATTTTGACTTCAAGATTATCTCGTAGCATTTGTAGTTTTTATACAGAGTGTTATTTAAGTACGCGACCAAACTTGAAGTGATGTTTCTTTGAGTAATTCTAAATCGAAAAGTTTATATAAACATAGGCCCGGTTCGTTCTCAAGATACGGGGTGTCAAACTTAAAAAAAAAAAACGTTTTTTCGTAAAAAACTTAATAACCCTTTAGCCGATTTTGTTGAAATTTGGCAGTGGTATTTGTGGTAGAAAAAGGCTAATTTAGCCCCAACTAGATTAAAATTATTAACTTCAGTGGTGTCCCGGGGGCACCTTAACCACTATTTTTGACAAAAAAAATGTGTGCCACTGACTTCTTGAAACTTTTATAATTTTTTCGCATTAATCAACTAAAAATACAACTTTTTTGTCCCTTGAATTTTTTTTTGTATCTTGCTTCCTTTTCGGAGAAAAAAAATAGAAATCACTTGCTTGTCCAATGACAACGAAAAAAACATTTTTATAATTAGTAAAACACAAAAATTCTTTTTACCTAGCATTAGTTTTTATAACAATTTATTATAGACTATTGATATGGAAAAAAATAACAGGTACACCCAGTTTTTGATAGTTTGATAGTTAAATTTTTTTATTATGTTGTCTATGCCTATGTTTATATAAACTTTTCGTCTTAAAATCACTCAAAGAATCACCCTTTGACCACGTACTTAAATAACACCCTGTTATGTTCAAGCTCATCATAAATTTTAAATAACTAAATCTAGAGTAAAGTATCTAGATTACTAGGGTTTTTTGAAATTTTGAAGTTAGTAAATATTATAGTTACATATATTTGTAGTTCAGCTTATAGATTTTTCTTAGATAATTATAAAGTTTGCTGATATTCACACAACTTTTTCAGGCCCATTTCAGAAATTATTAATTTGTGAAATTTCGTCATTTATATTTTAGATTAGTTCTATTTCAGAAAATTTTAATTAAATGCTAGAATTCATAAATTTGATAAAAAGTTTCTGTTATATTTTTGAAACCAAAAACCAATCATTTTCTAAAAAACATAACATCCTAAATAGTCGAAGTACAATGTCATAGAAATGACATAAATTATAGTTGACTAAATTGTGGAATATTATAGATATTTTCTGAATGCATGTTACTAATATAAAAATCAAATATCGTTTCATGAAATTTAATTTACTAATCTGAAATATACCTAATGATTTCAGAAGAAACTGTAAAGCAACTTTCTGAGAGATACATTTAAACACTTCAGATGTGTTGTGACTAGACCAGACTGCTTACATTTCTATAAATTTTAATATCTCTATATCAACTAACAGTAGTATCAGCAGAATGTACTGCATATGCAATGATTGTGCAGTCTCTGATCTCATTAGACTAGGTATTACAATTTAAATATTCACTGGACCAACCCGTAGAATCTAATTGCAGTTCAGTTTAATATGAAGTTTTAATCGAGTCCAAACAGAGAAATTCATAGAGCCAAACGATCTGTTGCAGGGTCCGACAGGGGTGCGCGGATTTCCGGGATTTCCGGTTTGTTTATTTTCATTTTGTTAATTTATGGTGGTGGGCCGAAGGGTACATCACACCCTTCAAAACTAAACAACCGTTAACCCTACTAATGTACACGCAACGTTGCAAACCGATGTGCAGTGAAATTTGAAATGTTTCGTTTATGTTGTAATTAATCAATTTCAGGGCGAATGACTCATCATCGAAATGTGGATAAAGTAACGAATGAAAATTTGATTCAGGCCGCTCGAGAACCATTTTTCACAAACTTTTAATGCAAAGCTGTTTGGGTAGTATGAAAATATAAAAAATTGTAATTAACTGAAGATGATTTATTGCCCTTGAATTAGTGATATAATAGAAAACAGTTTTTTGTATTTTTTTTTAGTATTCATAATACACTGCTCAAAATAATTAGAGGAACACTTATTTAAATCTCAATAACTTTTTTATTTGTAATACTATATAAATCTAATAATACATATCTTAAAGACTAACATTTTGTTCGAATAAATTTACGAAAATAAAACAAATTTAGATAATCATTCTTGAGACAATAGTACCAATTCAAAAAAACTACAAAAAATAAAGTGAAACATACAATCAAAATTTCAATTTAGAAATATGCTGTGCCTTGGAATAGTAAACAATGTTGACAGTTCAGCATAAATTGTAAAAAATGAGGCATCTAAGTGAAGTTGAAGTCGTTCGTGTTGTTGCTAGTATAGAGTATGGTACCAGTATTCGACAGGTTGCAAAAGGTTTTAACGTAAGCCCTTCTGTCATCCATCGCGTGTGGAATCGTTACTTAGAAACCGGAGGATATAAAAAACGCATTGGACAAGGTCATAAGAGGAAAACAAACCGAATTCAGGACAGGTTTTTAGTCCTATCCTCCTTACGTTCTCGTACATCCACAGCAAAAGACCTTCAAAGTAGGCGACTCATGGGTTGGAAATTTCCGATCAGACAGTTAGAAATAGACTGAGAGAAGCAAACTTGAGACCAAGAAGACCCGTGCGAAAACCTGTTTTAACTCCGTATCACATAAGGTCTCGTTTACATTTTTCACGTGAGCATGTGGCATGGCAACTTCGATATTGGAGACCAGTACTCTTCACAGATGAGTCACGATTTCGTTTAAGTCGTTGTGATGGTCGAGTACGTGTATACCGACGTCCACATGAACGCCATTCTTCAGCTACCATACAAGAAGTCGAAAGATTTGGTGGTAGGTCAGTGATGGTTTGGGGCGGAATTAGTCTTGATGTTCCACCGATCTTGTCATAGTTCCAGGGACTCTAACCGCTGAACGGTACATTGATCTCATTCTAGAAGATCATGTTATATACCAGCCGCTTATGGTATAGGTCCAAATTTTCTGTTTATGCAAGATAACGCAAGGCCACATAATGCGATTATCACCATGAACTACCTTCAACATCGCGGGATTCAATCCATGGATTGGCCTCCGCTAAGTCCTGATCTAAACCCCCATCGAACATCTTTGGGATTTGTTAGATAGGCGTGTTCGGAGGCGCCCAGACTCACCTCAGACTCTCCAACAGTTAACAAATGCCCTAATCGAAGAATGGGAGAATATACCACAAGAAGACATTCTTAGGCTCATCCGAAGCTTACCACGGAGGTGTCAAGCAGTAATTCGTGCTAATGGAAGAAATACACGATATTAGTGAACCAAATCTCACCAGGACCTTTATGTTATACAAACAGGATCACAGACTCTTCACTTTATTTCTTATAGTTTTTGTGAATTGGCGCTGTTGAGAGTGATTATGTAAATTTGTTTTATTTTCGTAAATTTATTCGAACAAAATGTTAGTGTTTAAGACATGCATTATTAGATTTATATAGTATTACAAATAAAAAGGTTATTGAGATTTAAATAAGTGTTCCTCTAATTATTTTGAGCAGTGTAGTATATTTTCCCTACAAAAAATAAATAAATAACATATATCTAGTGCTTAGACTGTAGATTATAAACATAACGAATAATTCTATTTTCACCTTGTGATCTGATCATGATCTTAAAGTCCCTCCTTTAACTTCAAGCTTTTTAATCACTTCACAGCTCATTTATTGATAGGCTTTCACATTCGCACAGTACTTGGTCTGGAGATACCTCCGTCATCAGGTAAAAACAGGCCAATATCTCTCGGATATTTTATGAGTCTGCAAATGTTCGATTATTATTTATTATCCATTTTAATCTATTCATTATTAGATACAGTTACATCTATTCATTATTAGATACAGTTAGTTTGCCGTCAACTTCTTTCATGCTTCTATCTCTAGGGGTTTCTTGCCGCCACTTTTGGGCCTTATTTTTCACTCTAAATGTAGAAATTAAAGAGTATATTTTTCTTCAATCTTTCATGGTGAATGAGGTAATGTATATATTCCATTGATGTTGTTCAGAAATCCTTATGTATTTCTATATCCATGATAATGAATATATCGTTAACATATCTGAATCAACCTTTTACAGTTTCTGACTCCAGAGCTTCTTTCTCGAGGGCTCCCATGTAGATATACTGCAAGACTGGGGACAAGTATAGTTGCTCCTTCAGTTTCTTCTTAAAACTGATCTCTGAAGGAGAACACTTTTTCGAAGTATTCTAAATTGTCGTCTTTGTCATCTGCGATGAGTGAGGTTCTTTCACAACTTTAACATTTCTGTAAATAATCACGTCACGTCAAAACTCACTACGATACCATCTGGATTTAGTCCTTTGATCTGTCAATAAAATCGCCTGCGTCTTTGACACGGTGTTTTTGAACTACTCCGCGCAGTTCCTGAAAAATGTTTGATGCTCGAATTGCAAAAACCACCAAAAAGCCCAGCTTTCTTGATTGCGTTGGGTTTGATATTTCGTCCAAGATGACAGTTGTATTTCCTTTGCCGGAAGACATATAATAATCTCTTCATTTTTCTTCAGTTCTTTGATGATTTGTACCTACTTATTTTCTAGACAGATTCAATTTCGAAGGTTTGGTAGTTCTTAATACGTGTACTACCTCAATCCACCCATATTAGATCCCAGATGTTCTTGACAAATTTGCTGGTATGATGGAAATGTAGATACTTCTAGAAGATTCTCCTTATTTTTCTTTATTTGTTCCTTTGGCGTCTCTGACATGCTGACTCAATGTAGAATTCTTCGACTGCGTAGATTTGAACATGATGTTTTACCTTAAAAATTCTGGTATGATCAGAATGCTAATACGCTTAAGGAGGTTTATCTGATTTGGAATTGACAAACAAAAAAACTCATAAAAAAATTAATATAAGCTTATTAATATGAAGAAAATCCTCAAACAAAATTATGACTAGTTTGGATACCTAAGAGACGAGATATTAATAAAATAATTTTTCACGATTTAGTACGAAGTCTTATGAGAATGCATATTTTTTTGGTCTTTCCACTTGGAATGCGCAACAATTGACGAACAGTTTCCACAGCAACTTGTACAAATAGGAAACCGATATCTAAGGAACCGTATGATAGCTCGTAGAAATCGATTAGGTACTTGTAAGATACATAATTTATAATAATTCTCCTTCAAACTGCTGTCTTGACTAACTTATCCTCCATATGCGTGGTACCGGTAACGCCACGGTCTCGACGTAGCGTATTATTTGAAATTTGCAGGTGTCCAAGCAAACAGAATGATCGAATGCGAGCGAGCGAACGCCGAGGCGAGCGAGCCAGCCAAGTGCAACGTTGACAAATTTGAAGGCTTTCTACTTTAGTCACTAGCGAATCTACAGAAACTCTCGTTAGACTTTAGATGTACCTCCGTACCCGATAAACCTCCTTAATAACTTCTGTTATCGCGTCCTTTATTGCTCCAGTTTCGTTGAAGTGAAGTAAATTTCAATGCAGTGGAGGCTCCTTAGCTTGGTTTGCAGCCTTCCTTGGCAGTTTAGCTGCCTTCTTGAGAAGAAACTCTCAAACTGGAGATTAAGTCTTCTGATTGGTATTTATATTAGTTGTGCTCAGTATCATAATATTTCGACGCTTATATTGTAATCATTGGCCTGTCTTTCCAGTCTATGATTTCTGCAATGAGTTGTTCTCAGAATCCAAGTAGTTTCTTTTCAATTCAAAGTTATCGAAGAAAATATGATTCCTCAGCGAAATATGTAATGCCCTTTATCTCGAATCTCGAAAACGAAAAATTTTAGGAGGTCTATCGAATTATTTCTATAAGAGTTTCACAATCTCAACAGCGATTTCCTAATATTTCTCTTGCACCTGTAAATATTACTGCTTATCTGATGAAAAGTTTATATCAATATTTGAATTCTTAATAAGCTAACAATTTGAAACTATTTCAGAACCACGCTGTCTCTGATAACAGCTATTAATTAGATTTCAATAAGTTTCATTAAATTTTTTAAGTAATTTTGATTCATTGCAGCAACAGTATCTGTCCAAAAAAAATGTTATAATTAAATGAAAAGACATACTTTTTAAATTTTGTTATTAGTGTTAAACTATACATTTATAGATGAGTTTAATAGAACTGAAATTGACTAATGCAAATAAACTGTAACATTTATTCAAAAGTGTGGATATTGTAATTTACAGTTTGAATATTTAAATTTCTACTCCTGTAACACTGCACTGTAACACTGTGACCGCACATAGGTTGGATGTAAATGGGAAATAGCAACACTTCTATTAACCCAAGTAGTTGTATTTAATCTGGTAACCACTGTAGAACTGAGCAACCAATTAATATTAGGCTTATTCAGTTGTTTAATTTTCATTTTAGTCGAACATTACACATGATAAAATACTAACTCAAACATTTACGCTGACATAAATTATTTAAAAATGATTTTAATTTGCCAGGGTCCAATTGGTTTAGACGGTCCGAAAGGGGAACCAGTAAGTTGTGCGTTTACGAAAAATTAAAAAGATATTTTAAGCACTGATGGTTTTAGGGTCGACCTGGGGAGAAGGGCCAAAAGGGACAAGTTGGAAGCGCCGGAATTGATGTTCTACAGGCAGTGAAAGTAAGTCTAGATATCTTATTTTAAACACACTAAAACAATGAAAATAATCTGGTTTGTATTTAATTTTGTATTTAACATTAGTTTAGACCTGTATATTGCCAGCTTTGTTATCAATTTTGTTTTTATTTCATGTAGCTGCCGGGCAGGGTAAGTAAACTGTGGAGTTTCGTTTTTGAAAAAACTTGTAGTTTTGTTTTGGTTGCATATAGTGACTGTTTTAGGCACCATTTCATTATATTCGTCATAATTGTTGATTTGCTGTGAAATGGTGCTTTTAATGTAGAGAACAGTACTTTAAATTGAACGTATTTGGCGCACATAGTTTTTCGAGAAAAAATTTAAAATCCAAATTGTCTATAGACCATTCCTTAAAGTATTTTTAACTGACATCAGTTGAACTATCGACATCCTATGCATATGTCCCTTAATTTGACTGCCAAGCCTCCGCAAGGAGTTTTTTGGCCAAAATTAAAGCAAAAAATTCAAATGAAGAGATCAAAATTTCTAGCAGCATGAAGATGACGTAGTATAAATGGTTTTTTAAACATCTGCCAAACCAGCTAAAGTGCAGGTACCAAATTTAGTATGTGCATGTTTTTGGTTATTGATTCGTAATTCGTTCAACTTTTTTTTTATTAAGACTACTTTAAAAATGTGATCACTATTTTATGAATATGTATAAATCTGAGTCATCGATAGCCCAAAAAGTGTACCAAGTTTGATACTGAAACTAGAGCTGATTTAGAACATTGTGATCTCTTTGCCCAATTTAAAGTATTGACTGTTTCTGTAGCCCTAGTTTTGAAAACGTAACAACAATAACAGTAATGAAACACCCTAAAATTGTGTATGTGTCGCGAAACTAAACAGGGTTATTGACCTAGGTTTTATGTATACCTTTCAGGGACTGAAAAGATCTGTAACGACGCTTCGAGGAGGAACCTTGGGGTATGCAGAGATTGTTGCTGTCAAGGTGAGATAGATCTCTGACAGCACATCTATTTATTTTTTGGGCGTATATTTTTAGCATATTTTTCTGCACCCTTAGTGTATTTTGTACTGTATTTATATTTATTCTCAACACACACAAATGTATTTTGAACTGCTTTTTAATTTTCGTACAAAAATCATAGTCGCCATAGTTGCATGAAACTAACTAAAACAAACATTTTAGAATACAAGATTTGATTTATTTTTTCTAGTTGACCATTTATAATCACATTATTTATAATTTTAAAGTTTTATTCATTTATGTTTTTGCATTCATAACAAAATTTCTACTCTCAGTTCCTTAAACCAAGGCAAGTCCTTGATGGAAACAAAAATCAGTTTAAACGATTTTCTAATTCCAAAAAGTTGAGTTTTCGAGATTATTATCTTCTAAATGTGTTAATTCTTTAACAGTTACGGCCAATATTGTTACAATTTTTTTCTCAGTTTTGAATGCATTTTTGTGTGCCTTTAATTTTAATTATCTAGTCTAGTTTTATTAGCAGTTGTCTTTCTAGCATGCAGCAGTTGTGGATATGTATCAGTATCCGTAATTATTATTAACCATGGGCACTATTTTCTGTTTCGCTGTCGTAGAGCTGTATTCACAACTAGTATAATTTTTAGGGGCTACAGGAAAGGGGCCATAACATTTCCGGGGAAACTATCATCACGCTCAAAGTGAGTTTTTAGTTTTTCATTCGCGATTACCTCATGTTGATATGTCCAGTTACCAGATATTTTCACTTGCAAGTAGTCTAGACACAATACTGTTTTAAAAAATTGTCAATATTTCAATTTTAGATACTACTGAATATTCCTTATTTATAAACATTAATAAAAAAATTTATGAAGTTATTTTCAATAAGTGTAAAGCAAAGGGAACTAGAACTTCAAAAAAGTTGCAAGTTTGCCTTGTATGTCCAGTTATTAACTATTTAGAAATTACAGGGTGTTGAAATTAAAAAGTAGTTTTGTTAGGATGCATTAGCTCGAAAATATTTTTGTATTTTGCTCATATAACAGTTTCATTATATATTAGTTATTGTCGATTAAAATAATTATTCAGTGTTTTTTTTTACTGAATCTTCTGCTCTGCTAGTTTTTCAGCACCAAAAAAAAATAAAAGATTAAGGATAATTTTAGCCGAAATGCTGCAATAAAAGTATATGCTATTTTAATATTTATTTTTTATATAATAATTGTCTTTGAAATTTAATTTTTTTTTGTAGAAATAATGTACCTACTAGATTTTGAAAATTCTTTAAAATAACCAATAAATTCTTCTGCGGTAATTATAAATCATCAGCAACAAGAAATTTCATGTGTAACTAAAACGGAATTTCTATCCTTTGTTTATTTTATTTCTCAAAAATTTAATGAACTGACCTTTCTAATTGGACTTCATTCTTTCACTTCGTGAGTAATGAAATAATCGTAAACTACCCTTTGATTTGAAAGTATCTGGTAACATTCAGCCCCATTACGTCATAAATTCCTCTTAATTTGCCATCATAGCTTTAGTTTTAATTACTATCATAATTTACTTCACCCCATACGGTTTTCTTTCTTTTGCAAATAGCAAACGTAAACTAAAACGTCCAGTTAATCATCACTCTAAGGCTACTTCTAATTCATATATCAAGTGTGTGTTGTGGTTAATTATATTTGCACATGCAGCAACCATTTGTTACTGAGGTAATCTTGTTAACTGTATACCATAAAAAAAGCATGGGCGTCGCCAAGATACGATACTTATGGTATCGTTCAATTAAATTGAAAATTACATGTCAAGTTTTTCAATTTGCCATAAAAGTTATAGAGCCGCCAGTTGTAATAAATTGCACATGCGAACATTGCATCAAAGTTTATGTATGTACAGTGTTATGCGTATGGAATTTAAAAAATGTGGTGCAATTAATTATTTAGTAACTACTTTACTTTTGTAAAAACATTCACAAAGAAAATCTCCTTAAGCTTTTTAATTTAGGTTGTTCAAACACAAGTCAAACTCATTCAAATCAAATACAAACGTATAAAAACACAATAATGACTGGCTATTGATAATTTTACAATTTCAAGGTCAATAAGAAAAATCCACGACAATATGTCTAAATTGAAGACAAATATTTTATTTCGATCCAAAAAAAGTTGTTTATAGCCAATTTATTTTAGATATTAGAACATTCTTACTTGACTTTATAGGACTGGCTATTTGGTGTAGAACCATTGCCAGTACAGAAACAGACACATACTTGACGTTATACCATCAAGAAGGCAAATACCGTTCTTTCTAAATCTATATCATGACTACAAGAAATTCATTCACTAATTTTCAAGCCACAAGTATTTCTAAAGATAATTGATTTTGATTGACGAAACTTGAACTAATTTCTTTTCTTCTTCTGAAGAAAGCGATATGTCTCTCGAAACGTCAAGACCGATGACGCACTGTGGGCCAAACAACTGTTTTACGGAAAAAGTAATTTTTTATGCTGAATCGAATGAGACCATTTTCGGGTCGCTAAGGCACTCAAGAAATCGCGTAATATACTTAGAAAAACACTAATTTTGCTATGCCAACTGCACGAAATGCATATTACTAGCGGAAAACTTTTTAAAGAATCGATTGTTTTGAAATTTTTACAGAAAAGAATACCAAACATATCTCTATCTTTTTTTGATTTATAAATACTGTTTTTCTCTAGTTATAAATACGATTCATTTGATGAAAAAAACGAAGATGTGGGTGAAAAATGTAAAATATAACGAGCGTTCAAATAAAAACGTGGTCAAGTTGGTTCTGAAAATTTGGACGTAGGGCGTAGCGTATAGCAAATGAACTTAAACGTCATCTGTCAAAGCGCTATATCGCCGCTATCAATTTGAATATTTTCGTTTTAAAAAGCGTTTAAAATGGTGTTTTCTCAAGAACAAAAAGTGTTTATCATAGAGTCCTACTTTAGAAATGGACGCAAGATTGATGGAATATGGAAGTATTCTATTGAGGAATGTTTCATAGAATTTCAAAATCAATTTCCCGGCGTTGTTGAGTACAAAATTTTTCAAAGTGCAGTTCAGCGTTGTGTTAATGTTTTTCGTGAAACGGGCAGTGTAACAAGAAAAGAAGGAAGCGGCCGACCTAAAAAGCGGACTGAAGAATTAAAAGAAAATGTCCAACAAATAATGGAAAATGCGCCAAGAACTTCTGTACGTGTTTTATCACAAATGGTGGGAGTATCAGTCGGTACCTGCCACACAGTGTTAAAAAAAGATTTGCGTTTGTTCTCCTATCGTTTAACTTGTCAGCAAGAACTTCATGAAGTTGATTTTCCGCGACGGGCTGTATTTTGTGAATGGTTTTTAAACAACTACGGTGAACTTCATAATATCACCTTTTTTTCTGATGAAGCCTGGTTTCATTTAAGTGGTTACGTAAACTCACAGAATATGAGAATGTGGTCTTCTGAAAAACCAGATAACTTTTTTGTCGAGGGCCCTCTACACGCTCAAAAAATTGGAGTTTGGTGTGCTCTCAATCGAAGGAGGATTTATGGACCTATTTTTTTTAATGGTACTCTTACTGCGCAAAGGTATAGAGAAGAAATTATCGCTCCTTTTGTTAACCAGCTGGAAGAAAACGAAATTACAAACTTTTACTTTCAACAAGATGGCGCAAGGGCACATACGGCAGGCGAGACGATGAATATGTTGAGGGAAGTTTTCCAAAATCGACTAATAAGTCTCAATGCTGAACATGAATTTCCACCGAGGTCATGTGATATTACGCCGTGTGATTTCTTTTTGTGGCCTTACCTTAAAAACACTATTTTTGAACTGCCTATTCCTGATTTAAACCATCTGCAGGCTCGACTTATAGACAAGATTCGTGAAATTAACAATACCCCGAGCATCTTAGAAAATGTCTTTAATTCTTTGAGGAACAGGTGTGAAAAGTGCTTGGAACAAGGAGGGGGACACTTTCAGCAGCTGCTTTAATTTATTGTTATAACAAGGAGGGGGACACTTTCCGCAGCTCCTTTAATTGTTTGTTATTGTTATCACGATTATTCTTTAAAATAAAGTTATATAGTCATTAACGTTATTGAAACTGACAGCTGCTATAAAGCTCGTTGAGAAATGAGGTTAAGTTGGTCGCTATAAGCTACTCCCTACGTCCAATGTGTCAGAGCCAACTTCGACCACGTTTTTATTTGAACGCTCGTTATAATTAAATAATGTGTTTTTAATTAATTATCACGAGAAACTGAAGAAAAATGTTATAGAAAAATGATTTTTTGTTTTTTGTTGTTAAAATGCAATTAATAGTCCAAATGCTAAAGTAAAAAAAAACAAAGTCGATCTTTCAAGGCTTCATCACTTAGAAGATGTTTCTTCTTTGGTTCGAACCTTAAGTAAGTGATGCACGGCTCTGTTGATTCTTGTAAAACACATTTTCTTACAGAAACATTTCCAGCAAATCTGACATTTGACTTTTAAGTCAATTTGGATCGAAAGTTTTGATACGCAAACAGAGTTTTTCGAAACGTAAACTGTATCATGTGATTTAGTGATTTCTGGTAAAACTAAAATTATAAAAATCGTTGAGGAAGGATTTGCATTAGCCAATCACGTGTTTGCACGAGAGAGAAAGATAGTACCCAAGCTACCTCTTTCTCTCTCTGTCACTCGTCTACACTGTCGCCAAAGTGATTCCTCCTTGTAATCTCTAATATCTAAGCTCTAATATCCACTCTTTGACTGATCCTTTTAGCTTAAAGAGGTATTTTTCTTCTTCCGTGTGGTACAATTAAATAAAAACCGATAACTGAAAATGCCACAAATAATAATTACTGACAATAAGGACTATTTACATTAGTGAATAGGAAAATCATAAAATAGTTCTGTGGGTACACCTGTTTGCAAGTGACCCATTTTTAAGCATTACGTCAGGAGCGCCAGCAGGACGCCCCCGGACGCACCAGCGTTACAGGAAGGGTCTACGGCGGACTGGCGCCGGCGACGAGATGCGTACTCATATATCTACGACCGACTCCACACACAGGGACTCTCCAACGAACACTTACCCCGTCAACACGTCTTTTTTTATACAACTTATTTTTCAATAAAATACTTTATTATTACCGTTGAGAGAGCGTTTTATTCTTGCTATACAGCGAAAACAACCCTCAGTTCTATATTTTAATCAAATAGTCTCAACAAAATATATTTTTTGTAAACCGTCATATTTGTGTCGTGCTTCATTGTATGTACAATAGTGAAATATTGGAGTGGCAGAATCATTGAAAAGATGTAAAGGAAAACTTCAATTTTAAAAAAGTCTATTATCTAACAAATTTTCAGTTTCATGAAAATCAATTTTTTCCATCTTTGCCTCACTGTGCGACCTGGCAACAAGCCTAGAAAAAAATTAAATGCATTTATCTACTATAATTTCCAAAATATCTCGTGACGTAGAAATTCTGAGCTTCTCAATTACGTCTCCAAATATCTCCGTCACTGGTTGGCAGATCAGTAAACGTTTGCATTTATTGATATGAATTTGTCATACAACGTCTGTCAATATATTAAATAACAAACGCTAAATAACTTCTGAAACATTTCAATAGTTATGATACTTTAAACTTCAGTGCCTTCTATCTCACAAATTTTAAATCTTTCATATTTTATCTAAATTGAAGCAAGAAAAATCTCCTGAGGTTGGAGACACAGAGAAACACTCTGTATGGCACTGACCTCACATAAGCATAAGAATATGTGCTATTATCACCTAGCCACAAAATATCTATACAATTTTGAACTGAGTGTGTTGCTGAAACATAACGAAATTCTTTATTTATTATCTATTAAAAATTAATTGTGACGCCCATGTTTGCACTTGATAATTTTCGTAATAATTTTGTTTTAATCTCTAAGTAGGTAGTTGCGTTGGTAGTTGCAAGTTTAGTAAATTTTGAGTATTTTAGTAACTTTGTTTCTGATTGTGTATGTAGAAGCTGGTGTAATTGGTGTTTTATGAAAACGTGTTTTAGAATGGATTACTAATTTTAATCTAGTAGCTCTGGCAATGTTGATTACATCTATGATTATAAAATGGCCAAAGTTTGATTACATTTTTCGTATCAAAGCAAAAGCGCTGTATTAGTATATTACTTAGTCATTAGCTTTTATGGTTTAAAATTACATTTCTGAATTCAGCAGTTAGGATAGAAAATAAAATTAAAAATTGACAAACAAAGGAGCTTTTAAAATATTTGTTTTGCTTTCTTCTCTTAGCCATTTTTGTATCCTTCACAAAACTGTTTATTGGTCATTTTATGATTCTTATCTCATTTTTTAAATATTGACTCCATTCAGTCGCAATTTTTCAAAACGGCTTCGAGCATTTGAACTATTCACTGAATTAATTTATTATTTAGGGAGAACCTGGTGAACCAGGTCCGCCTGGACCTCCGGGTCCTCCTGGTCCTGAGGGAATGCCAGGACACGACGGAAGACAAGGGATGCCAGGAGAACCAGGTCCAGCTGGCGAAAGAGGAGAACCTGGACCTATGGGCCCTATGGGTCCTCCAGGTGAAGATGGGCTTATAGGACCAAAGGTAAAGACAATTTTTGTCATATACATTTTCTTCAGAATATTTCAAAAATAAATCAATATACATATAAGGCAATATCATTAAGGAAAATATTAATGCAACTGGTAACACGAGTTTTTTTTTTATTGGAGTTTTTAAATGGTTTGATTTTCTTAAAGCAAGTGTTCACTTCAAAGGAGTAACCAATCAAGGTAGATTTGATTGGACTTATTCTAATGAGATAGGCTATTTCATTAAAATTGAGCCTAATGAAAAACCTCCGAAATAGAAATAATGTAATACAGTGAAAAACTTAATAAAATGTTGCTCCTGTTCAAGTTTAAAAATATCAGATTTACTCAATATTTCCAAAAGCGTTGTACCAAGCAAGTTGAAAATTTAAACAAATAAAGTTTTGAATGTGAAATTTGAAAAATAGTATTCATTTAATCGCTAGCGAGCGCTAAACTCTAACCAATATGTTTAAATAGGGCAAAGTCTAACAAATGTAGCAGTATCGGTCTGAAACATATGCGGGGACGATTTTCTTTTCTGAAGTGGTCAAGAACAGTAGTATTACCCTTTAATATGATGGATATTTTAAAAATCTACTAAACGACATTATGAGAGAACATTATAAATAAAAGCAACTTTCCACAGCACTCATGAAGTATTGCTTATGGTGCGTTGCCATTTTTTTTATAGTGGGCAGTTTGCAAGTAGCCCTATTTTCCACATTAAATTAACAATTCTCCATTAAACAACATACTAACATTAACAAAATATTTTTTTTTCAAGTAATAACACAAATAATCATTAAAAAAAACGTAACAATTCCACATTAAAAAAAATGCAGATATAATAATATAACAATAAAATAACAAAATAAAATTTTCTTCTAGTAATAACACAAATAATATTGAAAGAAACCATAATAACAATTCCAAAAATAATACCGCATCTAAAGACAATCACCCAGTCAGTTTCCGGCACTTCATACCACTCATCACTATCACTATCACTCTTACCGACATTGATAATAAAAGGATCGATGACTTCATCAATCATATTATCTACATCCCACATTTTCTTTTCCTCTTCTTCAGCGTGATTAATACACTTTCTCCAATCTTCTGTTGTAACGTTTTCTAATGCTTTCTTAAGATGGCGATGAACATCAACCGTTTTCTTTGATTGAAATATTAATTCACTCCAAGCTGCTGTATAATCCGTGCACATATCTGTTAATTCTTGTTTTGAACGCCCTGGGTGATCTCTTTGCAGGCAATTAAATACACATAAAATAATTTTCTCTTCACTTACCGTTCGAGTGGCCGCCCTTTTTACACCTGTCGATGATGACGGTCCTGGCACACCTTCCATCGTTGAATAATTTATTTCACTTTACCACCACAGAGATAGGCCGTTAATTAAAACTAACAATAAAAAATACGCGCGAATTTACCTACATCGACGACCAAAACGTTAAAAGGATTTCACTGAACTGCCGGTAGTGAGCCAGCAACAAAGATAAATTTATGCCCATAAAACGAGTTAATAGAAGATAGCTAGAACACATGGTTCGCCAGGTTGGCGACGTTGCCACTCATTTAGGAAAATCATAAAGTACAATAATAAATGAACAAGTCGAAACATATTTTATTAAAAGAATTTTTGTATAGTTGCCATATAAATAACAAACACTCGGGCATAAACAACATGTTTTTATAGTAAAACGCATTTAACATAGATGTAGCAAATTATATTTATGCCTACAGTGTTATTCGTTTAATGCCAAGAATTTGCCATATGTCTTTCTAATACTAATCCTCAGTAGGTATAACAAATTTTTTCTTTAAATAATGTTATATTTTAATAGTGCCGAAGGATTTTAAGGATAGGGAAATTTAAGAATTTAATGTGACAACAATGTTTCTCGCTTGTAGTTGACTTTGCCATATGCAAACATATTGGTTAGAGTTTAGTACAACTTACTGGTGGTCAAACATAACCAAAATTTGTATTTCAAATATTGAATATTTGAATGTAAATATGCTAGTTCGAAGAAAAAAACAATAATTTTTTTGAAAAGGTATATATTTTTTATTTGGCTTGCAAATGTAATTACTTTAGAAATACGAGAAAATTCAAATTTTATTATAAAAATAACTATCAAAATGTCTCTTCCTTACTTGACTGTTTCGGATAGGTACTTTCACAGCTTATGTAAATTAAATTTATTCCTCTTGATTTTGACTATACAACATATATTTAATATGAAAAGGAACTCACACAATTTGTAATCGAGGCAATCACCTCGGTAGCCGTATAGGAATAGTTTTCGATTGGGTTGCCTACAATTTGTTGAGTTACTAGATGGATCATGACTGATCATCGTTTTTATCTTGAAAATTGCGGTTTTTTTTCTCTCAACTTGAATCCCAATTTTGTTCAAAGTCAATTAAGTGTTCATTATTTTTAGAGCAAGTTGTAGACAACAAACGAAAGAAAAAATTAATCTATGAATAAAGCATATTTTTGAAAGTATTATCCTAAAGCCATCTCTTAAAGTTTTCTACTAGATTGGTTGCAATGATTCTTGAAATGTTGACAAAATTAAAGCGTATCGCTTTTTTTTTCTTTGACTCCGTAGATTACATAACAACAGCTTTTTATGAAGGTACGGTTGGCTCAATCGTTCTATTTTCTCAATAAAACACTGGATTTTAAATAAAAATTGCAGTAGTAATGCGATTCACAACAACTTTTTTAATTACAAACTTCATTTGTAAGTTTTAAGCATCGTTTAATCCAATAGACATACGGTTAAATGAAATTAATATTACAGTAAAATAAATGCTTGTCACTACACTTGCATCGCTCCATTTCAATCTATTTTAGTTATCGATGTTAACTACAACTGATGCTCTTTTTGTGGAAATACTGAATGAACACTGGTCACATTATTGCAGGCTGAAAAGTTTCAATGCAGACCAATAACTCGTCTGTACTTTTGCTATGTTTTATTTCAAATTCTATTTTAGTTCCATTTTTAAACGCATGCTTTCAATGATTTAATCCACAATCACAACCGTGTTAAATAAAATTACATTTTCCAAGACTCGAACATAATGCAGTAAGGTTAGATTAGCACTAAAAGAAAACAAACCTAGTCAATTAATTATAAAATTATTATATCCCAAAAAATAATATAACGGATAACTATAACTAGAGTATTAGTTGTATTTCCGCAATTACTTTTAACTTGATGGAGGGGAACATTCCCTCTCTACAATAACCAAAAGAAATCACGGTTCTATAGTAGGATCGTATTCGATGCAAAGTAGAGCAAAAAGTTGTCGGTCTTTTACCAAAGGAAAGTCGTGTCATCATTTTTAGGAGGCGTAAGATGAACCATTTCAAATTTAAAATGAAATTGAATGTTAAATCTGAAATATCGCTGCATACGCACTGTGTTCTGGTAGTAGCTGTAGTCGCCCAGGTGTACGAAGTGGTCGGTTATACGTCAAATACTAACCTGGCGAGCTTGATCGTAAAACAGAGAGCGCCTCCAAAAAACAAGTAAACAACAGTGGCGCGTACAGAGGTAAAATGTAGTACATATGTGGAAATAAAAAATACAAATTGGATTTATAATAAATTATATGTAAAATAAATAGTTTATGAGAATAAAGTAATTTTTGTAGGAACAAGGGTGCCAGATGTGAACTGATCCCTTCGTCTCTTCATGATGTATAAAGAAATTATTCAATTTCTAAAACCCTTAAAAGCGTATGGCACTGGATCCCTTGACAGGCAATGATTTATTACTTTGCATCGAATATGATCCTACTATAACTGTAAGAAATTATGCATTCGGCAATTATTTTCATGAATTACATAATTACATACGTCATCCTCATATACATTTTCAATTTAGGGCGACAGAGGTCCACTAGGTGCAAAAGGCGTTCCAGGATATACGGGGTTGCCAGGACACATGGGCTTGCCTGTGAGACATTTTCTTATTCACTTTACAAAGCATAACATTATTTGTTATTATTACCATCTAGTATATTACAGTTTATTTTTCCAATAGGGAATCCCCGGTAGGAACGGCACTAAAGGCGAAAGCGGTCCTCCAGTAAGTTTACAATATGTCAAAGTGGGGTATCTTATTAGTTTTCTAGCACCTATTTTTCTCCTCGATGGGTTGTCTGTGCATGAAAGGAATACGATCCGTAAAGAATTCTAAAAGGATTTGTTGTACAATATTTCTTTGTAGAAATGGTCTCTCCGCTCCTTTATTTCTAAAACCTAACGTAACATTTTCTGGTGGAAAGCTACTTTTTCATTATTCATCCATTAATTTCATTTTATATTCTAGTAAGAATTAACATACGAGCATTTTAGTTATTTATTCTGACTAATTTTACACACACAGTTCTATCGCCTTTATAAAACATTGTCTATTTTAGGGTGAAAAAGGAGATAAGGGTGAACGAGGGTTGACGACGACTTTAGCAGGGGACCAGTTCCCGACTGGTATCATCGAAGGACCCCCGGGACCACCAGGACCACCAGGTAAACAAAGATGAAATCTCTACTTCAGCAATAGCTTATCAAGGATTAACATAGTACTGAAAATTTAAAAAAATTAAATACAACAATGAGTCAAAAAAATTCTGTGTGCACAATGCATTCATAAAATGACCATGACTGTAATTAATATCCAGAATTTTTTGTACAGCTGTTCTAGCTAAAATAATACCTTTAGATTACGTATTTTTAATGTTAGGTTTTGTAGTTTTACTTTGCTTTAGAAGGTACTAAACTATTTCTACCCAAGTAAAACTTAAAATTCTCATTGGATGAAATCATATGTGCTCTTTGGCACCAATATCTTGTGATGCTAAAAAGCAACTTCAGACGAGAAAATTTTTTAATTCTCAACTTCTTGTTTTTTAATATAATCTTTCCACTACTCGTCTATTATAATATTTCAAGTCGAGATATCTCGTCAACATAATGTTTATTGTATTCACATGGTATGTTATAAATGATATTTTTGAATTTTGAACATCATTATTTCGGCGCGTCTTAGAAAAAAACTGTTCAAATATAAATTTGTTGACTATTCTTTTTAATTTTTCATACAATACAGAAATATTTGTAATTTACATTGTGGTTGTAATTTCCCTTTGTTGTCCGACAAAGTTGGTTTTACTTTCAATGTCATTCAACAAAATTTCCAGGATATTGATTATTATTTATTAGTAGGAACATTTTTATGAATTTCAACTATAGTCTGTTTGGAAATGAAAGAGAGTAATAATACCCCGAGATAAGAACCGGCCATGGGCGTGCTAATATTTCGTTTCAGGTAATTAAAGGATTACACTAATGCTAACAGATAATGGGTGTACGTACATTAGTATATTTTACTGGATACATCATAGAGCAGGAGCCAGTGTATTGTGACAGATCAATCCAGTCTTAGAGCTGAATATACGAAGACGTGCTAGTGCAGTAGAGTAAAATTCGACTTGTGTTTAGTGACTATTGTGCCAGTGGATATAATATTGTTTGGGTAAAATGTCGAGCTTATCAGATTACGTACCTGCTAAACGCGTGAAAAGATGTGCGCTGTCTCAGAATGAGAAGATTATTATATTAAATGTATTTAATGCATTGAAACACCAAAATCCTACCAACAGTGTTGACGACATCGTGGAAAAGTGTTCCAAAATGACAGGGATTGGAAAATCGACTATCTACAGACTTTTAAAGGAAACAAAAAATGAACAAGATACTGTAAATCCCCCAAAATCATCTACAGGGAGGTCAAAAGTCGTTATAGATGATTTCTTCAAAAATGTCATTCGCAGAAAAGTACACTCATTTTATTTTAAAAAAGAAATACCAACGCTAAACAAAATTTTAAGTGAACTTTCAGAGGACAACGATTTGCCAAAAATCAGTAGAAGCAAATTATGGGCCGTCTTACGAGAGTTGAATTTTTGCTGGGAAAAGCAGAACAGGAAGTCAGTTCTTATCGATAAAGATGAAATTATTTGTTGGCGAAGATCCTACTTAAGATCAATTAGAAAATTCCGTGACGAAGGGAGGAATATTTATTATCTAGACGAAACTTGGGTCAACGAGGGATATACTGTAACAAAAGTATGGCAAGATAAAAATGTAAAAAGTTTTCGACAAGCATTTTTGGATGGACTTTCAACAGGGTTCAAGGCACCTTCAGGTAAAGGGCGAAGATTAATAGTGACACATATAGGTAGTGCCAGTGGTTTTGTAGATGGCGGTTTACTTTTATTTGAATCTAAAAATACAGGTGACTATCACGAAGACATGAACGCAGATGTTTTCGAAGAGTATTTTACACAGATGTTGGATCTTATTCCTCCGGGGTCTGTAATTGTCATGGATAATGCCAGTTACCATTCACGGCAGACCGAGCGGACGCCTACGACTGCTTGGAGGAAAGCCGATATAATTCAATGGTTATCCGGAAAAAACATTTCTTTTGAAACAAATATGGTGAAAAAGGAACTTTTGACACTTGTCAATCTTAATAAAGATCAGAAAAAATATGTTATCGATGAAATGGCAACAAATCGCCAAATAACGGTACTACGGTTACCACCTTATCACTGTGAACTTAACCCAATCGAATTAGTCTGGGCGCAGGTAAAAGGAGATGTAGCGCGAAATAATACGACGTTTAAATTAAGTGACGTGAAAATTTTGTTAAAAAATTCCTTGGAACGAGTAACTGCAGATAACTGGCAAAGATGTATACATCATGTACAAAAAGAAGAGGAGAAAATGTGGGAACTCGATAATTTAATTGACGTTACTGTGGAACCTATCGTTATCAATCTAGGAGACGAAGATAATTCATCAGAATATTCAGAGGATGAATTTTAATATACCTACTTTTTTATTTTCTTTATTGTACATTTATACAACACTACATTTACTCACCATAATTTGAATTTTCAAAATACATATATTTTTGTGTGGAATAAAAGTCTATTCATTAAATTTAAATAAATATTTTGATAATAATATTGAATAATTTTATTTGAATTACTAAAAACCCTCTTAACCCGGTTATGATGCTTAAAGTAGCCTCATGTTTTGAAATGCTGTTTTTATATTGTTTACTTATAAGAGAAATGGACCGAGAAATTGAAGCGGCATAGACAAAGACGGATTGTCGGGGATTAAATTTTAGCTACCTGCTACAATTTAGTACAGTCCGATCGCACAAAGTTTTTTTAAAAGTACACCTCATCTATACCGAAAATGCATAATATAAAAATATTGAATATAAGCATCAGTACTACATTTATTTACGATTTGCATACATAATGAGCTTTTATTACTCTCTTTCATTTCTAAACAGACTATAAGTAATTATTAAAAATCCTAAATTTTAGGAAAGGAAAATATTCCCGTTAATAGAAAATTAAAAGAGACCCCGATTATTTAGTTGTCCGGTAAAATTAATTAGTTAATTAATGTTGTTAATAGTATTCAAACATTTAAATAGAATGTTTAAATTTTTTGAAGAATTATTAATTAATATGTATAGAATACGAGGGCTGCTTTTTATATTTCGGGAACACGGACCAAAAAAAAAAATTGGCTTTATTGCTTTACAAAATATTCTCCATGAATGCTAATACACTTTCGCATGTGCTTGAACCAATTCTCGAAGCACTTTTGCCATTCCGATTGAGGTACCTCCAAAACATGAATTTTGAACGCATCAATCACTTTTTCAAGCGTCGAAAAACGTTGACCTCATAATTCATTTTTGATGTGCGGAAATAAAAAAAGTCATTGAATGCCAAATCAGGGCTGTACGGCGGATGACTCATCAATTCGACTTTTTCAATTATCAAGAAGTTTCTTGTTTGAACTGATGTGTGAGAGTTCGCATTGTCCCGATGGAGAATGATGCTTCTTCGGCGGTTGGTTTCCCTTATTTTTCCGAAGACTTCTAATGATATAGTTACCACATGTTCGGTTTTTTCGGCGACCATTTGCTTAGAAGTACTTCGTGAGCGAACAACTTGTGTTGGATTTGGTTCATAGTGAAAAACCCATATAGGCGAGTGTTGTTTACTTTCGCGCTCACACACATAGATCCGTGATCCATCAGCTGCTACGATGTGATAGATATTCTGAAGCACCGCGATCGTATTTCTTGAGTATTTCTTTCAACCAATCGAGACGAGCTTTTTTGAGCTTTTATCAAACTATGTGGGTTCCAACAAATTTTATTGGCAACCAAATGTTCACGATTGAATGTATGCCTCAATCGGTACTTCATCGTCAAAAGTGAATTAAGTTCATCAATGCACTATTGTTGAGATAATCCATGTAGAAAGTTATAAAAATGGCACTGTAAATAACACACATAGCGCCTAGAGACATAGGTTGTCAGATGGCAGCATCAGGACCGTCCATTCCCGAAATATAAAAGGCAAGACTCTTATAAAATTTTTACCAGATATTGATGGTGTAATTCAATGCTGGACGGGGTTTAACCCGAGAGTAGCTGTCTCGTAGAATATGGGACGTTATTAATTAGTATATTGTCTTTGAAATTGTTTTTATCATGCATTGGTGTCATAAAGCATAAACGATTTCATCAGATGACAATTTTTGAATAATTTCTAGATTTGATTTGAGTTAGCTTAACACCTCTTAAAAAGTAAGGTTGGTAAATTTAAAGTTATTTAAATAACATTACAAAGCATATTCACAATATGACGTTCTAGCGCCTCAAAAGATTTTTCTATTTTAAAAATTAATGAATTCTTTACGAATATTTAGCATCCCGTATCTCAAAGATGAATCTGTGGGTAAATAATCATATAAGAAAATATTCTCTTTCATTTTTGATACATTATGTTATACAAACAGTATTAATAATTATTAAATACGTTATCAAAATTATTGTGCTTTTTTGACAGTAAATTATTGAGGAATTCATTAAAATCATATAAGCAAAAAGTTAACTATAAGAAGAGTGGCAGACCCTTGAAAATATGTTCCGTTTTTTTAAGTTTTGTCATCTCTATTATGAAACGCTACAATTGATTTGCAGTCGTATAGTTGGTCCCTCTTATTCTTTTACACCCTATTGAACTCAATACGTGGCACGACTGTTAAATCGATAATCTAAATTATTTACAAAATTACCGTACCTACTTGACAGAAATAGATTGTATGGATTGAGTTTAATATTTCACATTCTTACGTGCCCGTAGAATAAAATGATAAATCAGAAAATAAAAATAAATTGTATTGCCAAGTCTGTCACATTTTAAACTAGAAGAAAGCATTTCGTAAAACTCAAAAAAATTTGAGCCGTTAAAATGTGGCTTTGTTAATAATAATAGTATAGTTAATATCGAACCCTGGTATTAATCTAATGCTCTATAATGCCATTAAAAATTATAAACTGAATTCGCAATAATACAGGCAGTCGTGCTAGGTGATCACAGAACCTCTATGTCTCTGTTTATGTTCGTAGTAATAAATAAATT